ACCATATAGCTTTTCATATTTAAGCCTTTTTTCTTTTCGTTTTTTCTCACTTGTTTTTGTTCTTTATGACTGGTCCGGTGTATGCGTTGTCGCTTTCTTTATTATATTCCTTTGTTTTTTTTTTTTCTTTCTGAGTGCAATTTTGGTAACAATTTAGTTTTGTACTGTACCTTTTGATAGTTTTCATTAAATTTTTTCCACAAATACTTTTAGTGCATATGCCAATTTGCAAAATTGTCTGCGCGCACACACAAGTATACACACGCGATTGGTACTGGCCCTTTGCTTTTTACGTCACACTTCTCGTTCGTACTTCTCTTTACATGCATTTGCAAAGACAACCGTTTTCCACTTTAATCAATTTCAATTCTTTCCGATATTTAGGTAAGTGTTATTTGCTAAATATTGTGGCTATTTAAGTTTATTTATTTTTTTTCTTTTTTTTTTAGTTTTGCGAGATTATGACCGAATTTGTTTGGGATCTTATGCTATCTTGATTTTCCTATGCTTTTTTTTTCCAGCGCATTAATTTCACTTTATATATTTTCTTACTTTGAGCCTTTTCTTTTATTAGCTGTTCCCGTTTTTTTTTAACTCTTATTTTGTTTGTCTAGCTGTGTTTTTTTTTTTCACTTGGCACTTTTGTTACGATTTCTCGCGGTTGATCCGCACAGCTTTAACACTTATTCCCGAATGATCGTTCCTGCACAATGCTCTTTTGACAATCGCCCCATTCGCCGCGGATTTCCCTGCCGTTTTTTGTTATGTTTCTTTTTTCGCTGGGCAACGGTTTCGCGGCGATGACATTGCCGTAGTTGGGTTTACATAGATTGTTATGGGCTTCTAAATGCCCGGCGTTGTTGCTGTGCGTTTTTCTCCCTTTTTTTCTCTAACGTACAGTCACTAGCATTTAGCTTGAGATTTTTTTTCTTTTGCTTTTCTATGTTTCAAACGTGAAAACTTTGTCTTTGTTTAATGCTAATATCCATTATTCTTTTGTGTCCTTTTTGTATTATTTATTTATTAATTTTGTCTCTTTTTTTTTCACTGGGCACTTTTGTGCTAATATTGTTTGTCACTTGCATCAATGTGTTTTTTTCCTTTTACATATTCTTGAATACTTAGCTAAATGTTTGTATGAATCATCAATGCGAGCCCCGAACCATTTATTACGAATCAAAAAGTAGCATCAAATTCCAAAAGCATAAAATTCAGCAACATAACTCATCACAAATGAGGACTCTTTAATTAACTGCCTTTATTTCTTAAGATGACTCAGCAAAGATAAGTGTAGTTTAATTAAATCACGACGCATTGGTTCATATGAGGGGATTTGTGTTCAGCAAAACCTACAGTTCGTATCGCACGCGTATAAGTACAAGTTTCCCAAGAGAGATCAATAAAATTTTAACTTATTTTCTTTGCGCTTTGTACGTGTTTATACATATATTTTGGGTATATTAATAAAACTCTAATATATAACTTAACAAAATTGATCAGATGCTTTTATAATTCAATTCATAGTTATATTAGTTTGGAGGAAAAGAAATTATTTTTATATGAACTTCAGGACTTTATTTCGGATTGTCCGATTTGGGTCAAATATGCACCGTTTTGTTGTATGATATGTTGCCATTTTAAAGGTAACTTCAAAATGCCTCTCTCATAGAAGTC